TGAGAGAGAGAGAGAGAGAGGGGGGGAGGGGGGAGAGAGAGAAAGAGAGAGACAGAGACAGAGACAGAGAGAGAGAGGGGTGAGGGCTAGAGAAAGAGGACCTATATTTAAATAGCCGTGACACTGGTTTGTAAAGACTTTCCATAGCACTTGCCCTCAAGAAATACTGCACCTGCTAGGTACCAGTACTTTTTACTTGTGAAAAGCACTGCAATGGATGAAATAAGATAAAACAAAACGAAATGGCAAACCTTTTATTCGGAGAAGAATAAACACAAAAATAGTTATACGGTATACGATAAGTAATCTGGGAAGGGGCGGGGCTTAGGGGCTAAAATGTTAATATTGTCGTAACGTACCAGCAGAAAAACGTAAGCACACGATAAAATTAGAACTGCAGATCGACTGTTCAGTGTAAGACTTCGTCGTACATAACTTTTCGAAATTATGGAGTTTGGCGGAAAAAAGAGTCTTACACAAAACAGGCGAGATGCAGATTCTCGTGATTTTTTTTGCATGAACTGGCGAAGAGCCTAGAGACAACTAGACATTACCCCACGGACGCTGATGAAAGGCCCAGAAAGAAGACTAAACCGTTGAACTAAAGTGAAATACTGTAACGATATCAAGGACACAAAATCGGTTCTACAGTCCGAAACAGAGGAAAAAATTAACTCTTTAAGGGTGTAGCGGACACGTATACCCGAAGACCAGCAGAGCAAGGGCAGTGTGTCCGCAAATTTCGTGCCATTATACACAAATCAAAAACAAAACTGTATTTATTTCTTTGCATGCATTTAGTTGCATACCCGTTAACTTTTCAGATTTAAAAAAACCACAAATTGAAAAACTTGTTCGATGATGTTATGCCCTAAAAAAGCACATCTTCAAGAGTAGTCGAATAACCAGAATGCAAGTGGTCAGTAAGAGGTCATCGATTTCATGGCCCCAGAGATGAATGAGTCGCCGGCTAAAAAAAACCTGTAGTACAGTATAAGTATTGTTTGCCAGTCTTCAGATTTGTCGGCTCTACAGAAACAGTCGTTTGTCACGACCTACTACGCTAACTTAGAATTACAATTTCTATCTGACATTTTTAGCCGTTTTGAGTTAGAGGTCAAAAACCAAATTAATGTTCTAACTGCTCTATCAAAATCGTAAGATTAGTTGGAGTCGTTTTCAAGATATTCAAAGAATTGTATTCGATAGAGCTTGGCGTGCCGTGAAACTCAAAATTGTTCGTGTCAACGTTCTCAAAACTAGGTACTGAGCAAGTAGAACTTTGTAATTCTAAGATGGGGGCTCTCGTGGCCTAGGGGTTAAGGTGTTGGCCTCTCATTCAAAAGGTCCCGGGTTCGAATCCGGGTAGCGACCAAAATATTTTCTTCTCTAAAAATTGTCTCCTTTCACCTCCTTTCCTGCTCTCTAGCAATGTTCTGTTGTCTGCTTTCGTTTCCACTTTCTGCCCCCACCCCCTCACCTCCTTTGCCCCCTCCTCTGGGCTCCTGGCTCTTTCTGCAGCCTTTCTACTGCTACTCCTTGGCTCCTCCTTATTGCTGTCTTTCTGCCACACCCCTGATCTTCTGGTAGGAAAGATGTACACCTAGCCTTCTCGGACAAGGGCGAAAAATCTCGGAGGGCCCGTGTACAAGTTGCGCACGTTAAAGATCCCTTGGTGGTCTAAAATCGATAAGAGTAGGCTTCGGCCGCCACCCGGGCAAAATTCAAAATTTCCTACCAACTGAAAATATTAGGTGTGTCCCGCGCGCTCATATGCCCTTATGCAGTTGCGAGCGCCGTAAAAACATTTACCAAAACAAACAAACAAATTCTAAGATAACGTCTAGTCTCCAAATCTGTTGGCTTTAGAGAAACTGCTATAAGTTACTACATATACGTCCTTTGCGTCTTTTGACTTTAGAGAAACGGTAGTAAGTTACTGCTAACTTTTCTTCTAGTCTGTTGGCTTTAGAAAAACTATGGTACAGTATGTCACTACGCACTAATCCTCAATGTTCATAGTGAAGGAAAGGTTTTTATTTCAAAATAAAGGAAAACAAAACCTAGTTTAGGTTAATTAATGTCTCGAAACCACATGGCAGCTTCATTATACTCAGGACCAGCACTTGGGAAAAAATAACAAACGATTAAAAAAAAGGGAAATGCCATATTTTCAAAGAGGACAAATACAAACAGGCATCCTGTGCTTTATGATTTATACCCAGAGCAACCTCAAGAAAAAATTGATACATTTGATTTAATTGATACAGTCGGGGCTATAGAGGATTTCTCTTCATGGAGAGGGGAAGCAGCTTTTGCCCCTCCATGAAAATTTTGGCTTGACCCAACTGTATCAAATGAAGCAATTAATGCATCAAATGGGCACGGTGCTCTAGGTGTACTGTTAGGCTCTTCACCTCGCACCTAAAGGGTATAATTTCGATGAAAATATTAGAAAGATATTTTACCGGTCATCACTTTCTTCCCTCTGAGATGTACACTACCTTTAAAAAAGAAAACCTGGGCATTAATGTGCATTCCTGAGAGTCTAAAATATATTGATGAAGAGTACATAAGTGCTTGGAATGAAAGTATTATTTTACTCACAGAGCGGAGAATGTAAGGGGGGGGGGGGTACTCAAAATTATCTATAAACCACCACATTTCTCATTTTTGCAAAATGCTCTATATTGAGCTTTGTGAAATCGGGCAATTATATGTATTCTTGAATCAATACCCTTTGGAAACGCTCAAATCATATTTTATGTTCTTTCGCATGGATTACTGCAACTCTCTCTCTCTCTCTCTCTCTCTCTCTCTCTCTCTCTCTCTCTCTCTCTTTGCAGACCTCCGGAACATTATCTTTAAACTACAGCGCTTTTAAAACCAAGCACCGAGAATCGTGTCCTAAAAGAGAAAGAACGATTACATTATACCCCTCTATCTTATGAAATTCCATTGGCTCCTAAAAAGGTAGGATAAATTACAAGTTTGCGGTCTTTTCATAAAAATGTGTTAACAAATAAATCCCCCACGTATTTAATTAAGCAATCTCCCGCAAATGTATACTCCACCAGCATATTTAAGATGAGACGATCATTGTCTCTTATGAGAACATCTTGGAAGGGACGTCAAAATCTCGCTGTGAGGTCCTTTTCTCATCTTGCTCCATCTATCTGCCACTCTCTCCTACAATATTTGAGTGATACAGAGTAGGACGAAAAAATTTAGAATTCATTTAGAAACATACCCTTTCTTATGAAATTCCATCTTGATAGTTAGTCCTTCTTATTGGGAGTGGTAGTACTCTTATGTTCATAGAGGGATGAGCAAATCTTCATCGATTGAGCTGTGAAAATGAGATAAGATCAGATAAGGTACGTCTTTATTGTCCAGATTCTGGCACATTGCGAAGTGAACACACCTGGTCACCACTGAGTAGCGCTCACTGTGTACTGTGTAGAGTGTGTATGTGTTAGCGTCATTCTAAAGAGCATAATAAATTTCCACGTTCCATCACTTGTATTTTGTGTTATGATGAAGACAACAATGTTGTAAAGCGTCCATGACTGCATTGTACGGGAGAGGGTGCTATAGAAATTATCTGCATTGTAAATAGTAGTAGTAGTAGTAGCAGCAGCAGCAGCAGCAGCAGCAGTAGCAGTAGTAGTAGTAGTAGTAGTAGTAGTAGTAGTAGTAGTAGTAGTAGTAGTAG